TTCATTTCTAGGGCTCCATCTCTGCAGTGTCCTCATTTTTCCAGCTGACTGTCAGATCCTTGCTTGGCAGTAAAGAGCAATGTTTTCCGGGAACTAGACAAGGCTAACAGCTGTATGGCCCCATTGACACACTTTTAGGATGTATCAGATTTCCACCTCTTTGTTTGTCGCCTGTACTGTAACTCTAACACTGAACACACCTTTACAGACAAAATAAACATTTTGTATATACTGTATATGTTTAACATAAATCCATCTAATATTTGCACACGTGAGCTTTAAAAAGTCCACCTGGCCAAGTGGAACCAAATGAGGGTTAACTTTGTTTATATAAGGTGTTCGGTGTTTTCCATAGGCTGAGAGGTTACTTGTGGTTTTTGGCAATGTAGATGGCCTTACAGCGTGGCATGGTACTCGATGAGCAGGATATGAATGAACTATTGTTATAGAAATCATCAATATTAATATAACTTCGAAAAAGATTATCCATTTTAAACAAATTATAAGCATGAAGGCCTTTTTTTCTTTTATATATAATGTTTTCATGTGCACTGGAGGAGAGATCAAATATCTTAAGATTTTTTTTTCTTTTTACCATGAATTATTTGTAAGGAGTAGTTGGTTCCCAACTATTGCCTAAAATAGGACTTTATACAGTCTGGAAATAAAAAGTATTTTATGTAATTGAAGAATTTCCCTGCATTTGCTAATTAAGGAGAAACAAACGTAGTAAGGAGAAGTCGCTTTACATCTGGATTTCCTCCCAGGGGTGAGAGATGCACTGATTATACTGGATGTATCTTGAGTTTTCCCACGCATGGTAGTTAAAAACAATCTATCGCAAGCATCGAGTACAAATTTGTTTGACATTAAGCTGCTTGCATCTATTTCACTGAGATTTTTATTTTTCCCACACTCTTTGAATGCATCGTAAACCCCTCCTCCAAACAGGATTCTTTTCTGCGCGGAACGAAAACTACAGCAACCGGCAAATAAAATATGGCGACAGCAGGTGCTTCAGCTAAGCAATATATGTTATTGGTTTGGATTTTACGCCGAGGAAGGTCTTTTGTAAGACGTGCTGTACAAGGTAGCAGTACAAATTTATTCTACGACTTCTGATCCTCTGCAAAATTAAGAATGTTGTAAACCCTGCTTCTTTGTTTGAAAAAGCGATCCCATATGAGAGAAACCGAAAGAGATGGAGGGGAATCACAAGTGCTATTTATTATGTTATTTAAATGTTTTTAGATGCTCTAATACCTGTGATGGGATGAGGTTTTGTTCAGAGGTTTTATAGGTGTTCTCTAAACTTGGCAATGTTCTCAATTTTAGCAGGTAAAGGTCAATGCAAATAGGCAGGAGATGCTCTGATAATACTCTAATTTTCAGATAGTATTTCCACTTTTGTTTTTGTAATTTGAGGTCATTTCCTTTAATTCTGCTTTTTTTTAAAGTTATGTAAAATTGTTTGTTTTAATATAGTATTGCATGTTTTTGCTTTGTTTCCTGTTTGGTTGCTGGGATCTTGTTGAAGGTCTAATAGTGGCACTGAAAGACATAGTGTGGCAGTAATATTGGTAAAAAGCTTTGAGCTGGTTAAAGTAAAATGTTTTGAATTTAACACCAAAAGTTTGAAGAAAGTATATAAGTGCGATTTTATGCATTGTATTGTTTTTGAAGGTAATTTGAACATATTGTGACATATATCATGTATCACGATATAGCCCAAATATATCATATTAGATTTTCTTTATATCGCCCAGCCCTAATTCATCCCCATACCAGTGTCTAAAAACTGGATATATTCATCCTTTTTACCTCATTTGAAAGCGTGACCTCTAAATACCTGCCATAGATGTATACTGAAGGTTACTATAGAAAGGACCAGAACTCTTCAAATTTGGGTTTGGAAAACAGTTTTGACATTGAAAAATGTGCTGGAATCCACTGGTAAGAGCTTTAAATGGCTGTAATTGGCTATGGAGACTGGAATCCTCCACTGTACAATGAGGCAGGAGTTTATCTAAAGCCAGGCATACACTGTGTGAAATTTGCAAACGTTGCAAATATCACACAGTCCTCACACTGTCCGACTCAACGCTCTGATGCGATCTACCTGTTAACACTGTACGTCTAAAAATCACGCAGTGAGATGTAGCTACTCTGACTTGTTTATCTGGAAGCCAAACAAATAAAAGAGGAATATGAAGATCCCTAGAGAGAAACGTGCTGCCTTGGCAATTTGTTTAATTTTGTGTGCTAAATGCCCTAAAAAGAAAAGGTGGCGACGTATTTGCAGAAAGAAATGGCTGAGTAAACATGGCTACTACTGTCTGTCAATTTTACAGAAAGAACTCGATTTCACCTGCACCCCGACCGTGCTTTTGTGTTCTCTTCTGGGATGAAGAAGAAGAATAAGAAGAATTCTTGTTTTTGCATGCACACTGAGCGTTTTGCCAAAGACGGCTGTCTGAATTTCCAACATGTTTGATTTTCTCCCGACTCTACGATTCCTGATTGGGAGGTGGTCGTGAGTGGCTGATCGCCCTTCGTCAGGCTGAAAGTGAGCCCTATCAAAAAATTCTTGTACGACTGGAGATTTGGCCCAAAAAGGGCAAAAAAAATAGTAGTGTATGCCCGGCTTAAAGATTTTATACCATCCTACTCACTGGCTGACATGTTTAACAGTACAAGTTTTAAAATTGCACTGCTGTTAAAGATAAAGCAGTGTATCTTTCCAACTGCGTTGTATTGCAACCAAACTTGGAAAAAATGCTGTCATCATGCTCTACATTGCAGCTCCTAGATTTCCTCTCAGAGCTACAAAAGCATACACAGAAAAAAATTAAGTAAAACAGAATTTTCTTTAGAAAAGAACTAAATCCAAAGGTAATCAATAGGTTCTGCTATTAGGAGTTTCAGATTTTCTGTCTGCATCCTAATGGCTCAAAGCGAGAGAGGCCAATCCCTGCATGCTTCAATAAAGAATTTGCATCTTCCTGTCCCTTTCTTAAATTAATGAGCCCTCTGTCTGTAACAGAAAGAGGGGACTGCGCCATACGGCCTCTTCCAACCTTAAAATGTTTCAACTGCTAGGAAATCATAACAGCTGTTAAAGGGCAACAATTCATTATTTTATATTAAATTAACTAAAGGGATCTTTTCAGCTGGAATATATATCTCTGTGGTTTTTGTTAAGCTTCAGGCTGGTGACACTTGCATGTGAATAGCTGCTGCTAAGGGCTTAGGCTCATAAAATGCTAAAGCAGCATAGCGCTGGAGCAAAATGTAAAAAGAGAGAATGTCCAGTGGATTGAAAAGTTCACCTGAAGACCATCGTTTGTCAAAATAAATTATCTCGCTAACAGCATTAATGTTCGAAAAAACCTTTTTGGCTGTCACAATGATCTTTGCAGTGGTTTGAAGCCAAAATTGAAACTGATATTTACAAAAAGTCCCCCAATTATGCAGACAAATGGAAGAATTTTACTTCCTCCATCTGCAGGCAAATTTTCCCTGTGTGAATTTTGGTCGTCTTGTGCCCACTAATGATTTATTCATTGGAGAAGTTGTGGTTTGGTAGAAACAACATTTACCTGTCATCTGAGAACGACGGTCTATCCATGTCAGGCTTGGCTGGATTCAGGAATGTGGATTAGCTGGTTGGGTAAGCCAAAGGAATACTCTGCTATATAGTTGACTTCTGTAGCTTTGCACTCTAATTTCCTCTTGAGTTAATATTTAACCTGGCTCATATAAATGTCAAAGTCTCTACTGACGATGCTAAATGCCGATCCATTTCATTTAGATGAGTTGGTCCTGATTTGTATAGATTTGTTTGTTGATTTATTCTTTGAAGAAGACGAAATGTTTTCTGTGGTTTCCAAAGCACTTGGTTTCAAACAGCAGTGCAGACATGAAGAGAAAGAGCTGCAGAGTAACATGAATCTACCTGCAGCTCCCTCAGGCCCAGCCTGGTTGTAGTAGAATGAGGAGTTTTAACCTCAAGGCTCAGCTCAGTGTGTCGGCTTTGGATCACAGCTCTATTTACCCGAGCCATGGCCCTGTTTCCACTTCTGGCATTTTCTCTTTGCCCCAGTACAGTAGTTCTGGGCTGCAGATCCAGACATATGCACACCCTAGCTAACTGTCCGTGCATACCACCTGGGTGGTCCTTCCATCCAGACCCAACAGAAAGACTTGTCTTCACAAAGAGTTTGAAGTCATCAGATGCTCTCCCTGAAGTTTCATGCACTCCTCCACCAAGATTTCACATGCTGTTCTATAAATGTATTTCAGGACATGCGAGGTTTTGTGTCTGACTTTTATTGTCCTTTGAAACCTTCAAAATGTGGATCCCAGTTTCTACTTTTTACTCACTGTTTTGTTTAATCTTCTTGTTCCTGTTGATAAAAAAAAAAAGTTAAAAAGAATGGGGTGGCAGTGTGCCTTTAGGCCATGTTCATAAATACTCCCTTTCTTTCTTGTTGTCTTTGTGCTCCCCCCTCCCTCTCATCGATGACAGCAGGATCACATCATTGCTTCATGCTCAATGGTTTGGTTCTTTCCTTCAATCTCCATTTGAGACCACAGGCCACACAGACAGAGCCAATGCCAGTAAAGGACATGGTGTGTGTGGGTTGGAAGAAGATGCAACAGTGTGTATATTAGTCTAAAATCAGATCTGTATTGAACTTGAAAAAAGTTGCATGGTGTCAGAAAAAGGTGTTGTGAAAATGCAGAAGCTCATGATGCGTTATCAAATACAGATTAACCGGTTTCATTCAGCTTCATGTTGCTGCCAGTGAGGAACTTGGTTTCTTTGTGTTTTTTTTAAATGCCATTCTGCACAGGATCCCATTGCATCACTTCAGTGTGACCCAGTGCAAAATTGCTTAATTTTCTTTCTGTATCCAAATGCTGTTTGTGTAAAAACGTTAGGAACTTGCAGAGACCTCCTCCCTTCTTTAACCTGTTGTCCTCTCTATCTCTGACAGTACTGGCATAAAGGATGCTTCAGCTGCGAGGTCTGCAAAATGACTCTAAACATGAAGAATTACAAAGGCTTCGAGAAGAGACCATACTGCAATGCGTAAGTTCTATCTAAATCCTCTTTCTGCGGCTGTCAGAGTGGGTCGCATCAGACTGAAGTTTAGTCCACAGCCCTGAAATCGGGGACTCCAAATGTTTGTGTGGGTGCACATGTTGCAACCCAACGACGGCCCCTCTCTTCATCCTCTCCTATTTATCTGTGTCTATCTAGCTCCCCCCTCAAAGCAAAGGGCTGTGGGTGGTGTGGGAAAGTTCCTCCCTTCCTCCCTCTTCTCAGTGGGGAGGGGGGGCATCAACAAAGGAAATTCCTTAAGTTCCTCTGCAGTGACAGAGGTGGACTCTAGAAACTAACATGTTCCCTCATGCTCCAGTGCTGCTGAAGGCCCATCAGGAATCCATGGAATCCCCCTCCCCTCTCATATTACGTATAATGACTTCCTCCTCCGCCTGTCTGTGAGCGTGTGCATATTCCGAGAGGGAACACAGGAAGGAGGCGTTGCTTCATGTCCTGACAAGCTCATTTGCTGAGCAGCCATTTTATTGAGTGAAAAATGAGAAGAGACGTCGTCTTAGTAATGTCAGTTTGATCCCGGCAAAAAAAAAAAACGTCCAAGTTTGGCAGCCAGCTTGTGTTCGGCTGTTGGACGTAGAATATCTCTCCTGTAATGAAGCGTTTCAGAGACGAACATGAGGAATGATGCTTCCCCCCCCCACTTATATATGACTAAAGATTAGTCGCTCTTTTAACAAGTGTTGAACTCTTTCCTTTTTTGTAATGTCGCAACAGAAATGTATTTTATTCAGATTTTCTTTGATAGACCAACACACATTGGTGAATAACTAAAGTAAAAGAGAAGGTTATGCTTGTTTTGTTTTCTGTAAAATACTCTGAATATCACTAAAAATGGTCTGATTATAAAACCACCATCGTGGAGCACCGTTCAATCATCAGGTTAACTGCAAACCTCTTTGCTCAGACAAAATGGAGTCCTATTCAGTAAGGTAGTACCTTGGGAGGAGCTGCAGACATCCACGGCGCAGGTAGAGGAATCTGCTGATGAGGCACTACTTGCTCATGGATTCTACGAATCTTTATTTTTATGGAACAGTTTCAAGAAGAGAGCCGCTGTTGAATGAAAGCCTAAAAATAATCCTTTCAAAATATAAATACAGTAGAATCATAAAAGAAAAGCAGAATTTGGTTGCAGAGGAATTGGAACAAGGGTTAATGGTTAACCGTCCGAAAGGTTAATGACCGTAAACATTCACTCAGAGCTACAAGCCAGTGGTTTAGATATGGGGAGAGTACATTGATGATCACTGATAATCTCAGTACAATATGGAAACTTTGCAGATAAAGATCTGTTTTCCCCTTTAGCGTTACAATTATGATTCGGCTTTTTGTTGATCAGTGGCAAAAAATCTTAGCGATTTTGAAGGTTTGTAGTCATAACAAATATAAAAAGGTTTAAGTCTCTGAATAGTGTTGTTAGATACTGTTTTAGGCTTCACTTTTTTATTTAATTTTTGTGGCCTTGCATCAGAACTGGATGACTGAATTAGTTATTAAAAGATTTAATCTCTGGAAGATTCTTAAAGCTGTTTTAGCTTTTGTAACTAATTCATTTATACCTTAAAACCCAGAAGCTTTATCAGGTTTTTTCACTTGCTTGTTTTTTTGGCGTAATATCCTTTTTTTTAGGTCGAGCTCATAAGAAAACCACACATTCTTCATTGTGTTATTTTTAACTCTATGAAGAACTTCCATTTAACCATGGTGGGAAAAGTAAAAATGGGTGGGTGCCTTATCTGATTATTTAGAGTGCTTCATAAATGCAGAACACTTGCAGCGTTCTGCAAATTCATTTATCTTTCCGGTTTAAACTCTTACAAACTATCATGTAGCATCTAGATATGAAAGCTTGAAGTGTGGAGTTATAGACCATCTGACCTGTGATTTGAGTTTGCAGTGACTGGGGAGTCCAAATAATGGTTATTCTCAGCTTCGTGAATTTCATTGCTAAAAATGCATTTTCACAATGGGAAGCACGGTTTTCACTGTCAAAGACAAACAGCATTATTATGAACAAGACTGAGCAAAATTCAGATTTTTAAAGAGTATAAATCACAAATTTTGGTTGAAAAGGTACAGCTTCTTGGTACAAATGTCAGACACAATAATCCTCTCATTTCATTTTATTTTTTGGAAGTACATTTGTGTATATTTGCATCTCACCCTGTCAGAAATGAATAAAAAAAAAATCTAGGTACGTGATCACTGGGGAATGGTGAAGTAGGAAACATTTCAGTGTCATTTAGGTTGCTTCAACTCTGAGACTTAAACAGAATTCAGTCATAACATTTCTGCTTCCAAACCTTTTTTATGCTTAGTATGCATTTTGTTTTCATTTCTATTATTACAGGCCTGGTGTTTGCAGACACGCCATATTTAGTAGGTATATTTCTAACTCTTACGTATTTAAATACAATGCTACAAACCTTTATTCGTATAGAAGTGTTAAATTCCAGCAGACATCACCTGATCTAAGCTTAGTTCTCCAAAGGTAAAAGAAATCTATTCCCATTTGGCCCGTCTCCTGGCGAGGCAGCAGGGCCCTTTAGATTGTGCTTATTATACCTCCCTCTGTTTGTTTAATATAAGCCTTGTGAGAATAAACATAATCAGCTAAAGAGGCTGCAGCTCCAGGAAAGGAATGCAGGCTACGCTCTCTTCTCGTCCCTCTGTGGGATAACTACTTTATCATTACTCCGTTATGTTTGACCTTGGTAATTGATATAGGCGCTGTTTGTTTTTACTGTATTCCCACCCTCTTCCTTGAGAGTCCCATCCCAGGGTAGATAATACCGTCACCGTGGGTTGTGGGAGAAGTTCAGACTTAGAAAAAACTCACAGTAGTCTCCACTGGAGGCTGTCTGAAGTTATGAACTACCTTAATGACTTGGAGTCTGTATCAAGCTGGACATCGATTTGGTTTAATGAAAACGTGTCACAGACGTGTTGATTTATTGTTGTCGATTACAGTGTCCTCGGATACTCCGACGCACTACAGCATCCTCAGTTTTTTGTGGGCAGTTGTTAATAAACAGCTCCTCCATGATGTGGTGCAGCTCTGAGCGCTTTGTTGGTGGCTGCCTCCCACTTTTAAAGGAAACCAACCAGCAGAAGGATCCAGTGTATGAATTTCTAAAGAGGACTTGAAGATTAAGTGAAGATCCCACTCTCTGTCATTTCAAAGCAGATACTGTTAATTTATTCCATATTCCCTAGCATGTTGTTCCCCAGTCAGCCCTGCTCAGTATTGTGGACCTGTGTAGATGAGATGTTGCTAAATGATCTAAAAAAACCTTTCCAGGTCTGAGTCCAGCTGACCACACCATCTCCTGTTTCCTTCCTGCAAACAGGCCTCTCCTCCTGCACAGTAGGCCTCTCATTTGTGTGTGTGTGTGTGATTACACATGCATGACCCCCTCCCCTCTGTCATTCTTGCATCCCCTCTGTTTTATCACTCTCTTTAGTGAATGCACCACTGTTTCCCGTGTGCTTCTACTTAGCCCAGTGCTCTGACTCACAGGTATGGGAGTCTCCTAGTGACTTGGTTTTACTGTTAAATAAACGTGCAAATGAGTAACGGAACACAAAACGGAGTGCTCACGCATTGTATGACTATTTGCAACAAGGGTGTTGTAGGCTTACATAGCAATTTACTGTCTCCTGAGTGTAACAGCAGGCTCCAAAGTTGCATCAGAACTGGAAGGAGCCCAGATGCTGATTATGAGGTCGACGACACACCCGCCATGTCTGGATTTTTAGTCCCTGTGATTCACAGAAAATCCTCCCCATGTCGACCAGGAGTTTGGGTTATTGATATAATTTGGTCTAGAAATATTATTTTTTGTAGCTCTTAAACACTGCCACCTTACAGGCATGAAGGCAAACTCATATACATTTACTCCCAAGGGTGTCTTTGTTCCTCCATTATTTATACTTACCAGAGGAGTCTATCATTTCCACCCAGTACTGTTAAAAAAAAAAAAAAAGTACCAAGGCTCTCCGAAGTTTTCATATTATTTAACTACAACATAACTGAAGTGAAATGAAAGATGTTTCTTTATCTCTTTAACCAGAAAGGTCAGGGATAAAATGTGAAGATAAGGTTGGATTAGGATATAAAACCCATGTTCCAGAACGCTGTACAATCAATCATCTGAAAATGTGAGGGTATAACACCACTGTAAACCATGAGGCTATCCCCGCCAAGCGGGCATCAGAGACCTTTTATAGTCCAGAGTATTTTTTCCCTTTGCTGTCTTCATGCAACCTTTTAATAACCATAAAACCTGCTTGAGAAAGAAACATGGAATGAAAACATTAACCTCTTACAATCCCAGATCATAAAGGTGTGATCAATGGAGTCCTCCCCATTGTGCCATTCTGTTGTAGATATATTGGGGGGAGGTAACCTCTTTCCTGCTACTCTGGGGGTAGTTAAACAACCAAATGTTCCTCTAGAGCTAAAACTGACAAACCATCTGAACAGAAACCAAGAAGCCCCTAGAAACTCTGCAAGAACAGCAGAGATCCACAGCTGAGGTGGAAACAAAATCTGTCAACTATTGGTTTTTCACGAGACGATTCTATCTGTCAAAGAAGGGGGCAAGAAGTTCAATTAAGTGAGGTGTAGAAAGTCCTGTTAAAAACTTGCAGCTAGTCATGATAGGGACACGGTAAACATGTGGGAGAAGGTGCCAAGTCCAAAGTACATCTTTTGGCCTATTTGCAAATCCATTATGAAATAAGGTGGAAGCAGCATCATGCAATAGGAATGCTGCTATTTTGTTCCACTAGGCGTAACCAAACTGGGTTTAATTGTTTAACTTGTTTCCCTGATTCTGTACACTTCAATCAACGAAGGCTGCATCATAGTCTTAGCAGAGCATCATACATTAATCACACTGGCTGTGGATGAATGGACTAGACAGGGTCAGGTTTAGATAATAGTATAATTCATGTGCCCGAAAGGTCTAAATCCTAATTCAGAATTTGTAGCAAGACTTTAACTGTGATCTTTATCAACACCCTTTATGAAAAGAAAATGAAATCTATATGCATACAAGGCTGCTCTCACAGCTGTAAGTGCAGCAGAAAGCAGCCTCTCAAAAGTATTTACTAAAGGAGGCATAACAGTCTCTTCACATCTTTTAGTTATTGGCCAGATAAAAGAACAAAAAATGTATTCCAGCTCATATTTTTGTGGCCCGTTTGTTTTGGTTTATTACATAAAATCTCCAGTATCCAGATGTTGGCAGTTTAAAACATGGCAATTATACTTTAGCAGGACACCATCATAAACTGCGTCCCTGTAGGAAAATGTCACAGTGCTTCTATGATTAGATAGCTTAATGAGAGAGCTGCACTGTACTCTGGACAGTTTGATTTTACCTCCTCTAATAGCCTCACACACCACATCTGAATGTTACAGATGGCGGAGTCTTTAGCTAAACTAGCGCTGGACAGTGAGCAAAGACACAAGGTCATAAACTGCTATGAAGAAAAATCACATTTCTAGTTCTACTCTCATTATTATAAAAAAAATACAGATTTTAAACAATTTTGTCCAATTCTGACCAACGTTCGTTGATTTTTAAGAATGTTAATTAGGAGATTGCAAACATATGGATGAAGTGGGCCACCCAGAGGCATTGGTAGCATGTAAAGAATATAAGGGGCACCCAGTATCCTGAGGCAGGCTGGGAAATGTAGTCCAAGTAAGCTGTTGGACATACTGATAGGGTTTTTCATCTCCCACTGGACCGGCACCATGTGGTTTTCCTGCCTTTAGCAGTGAATGAACTGGCAGACGGCATTATTTGTTGACCCTGGGTTGCATTAACTTGAAAGCTTCCAGTATAGAATCAGACTGTCTAATGCCTCACGTATACTCCCTACTAATGGCAGTTCAGCCAATCCATGGCCAGTGTGAAGAATAAAAGCTGGATGATGACTCAACCAAAAAAATATGGAAGGATCCTTTTTCACACTTAATGGAATTAGGTTTCTGTCTTTAAGAAAGACTAGATGTGCTTTAGTGGGAATAAAACACATGAATGAGCAGCTTCTTCACTAAGAGAGGAAGATGGCTCTAAAATATTAAGAAAAACAAACCTAAATCCACTATCAGCTGAAGGGAGACGCCCATGACGTTACTCACATAGTCCCTTTGACCTGGTTGCTATGTCTGCTTCATGCTGTCTGTTTCCCTGTTATCCCCACAGCACTGAGCTCATGAGTGTGTGAGTTTATTTCTCTGCTTCTGAATCCTGAAAAGCTTTTTCTACACATGCTATTGCTCGTATCCAAACTCTGGAACATTGAGGCTTTCCATCCCGAATAACAATCCTCCGTTTTCTGTGTTTCTGCTTTTTTTTTGCCTCTCACTGACAAACCATAGTTAATGCAGACATGCTTTTTGTCTACAGGCCCTGCTAAGTCGACGCCAGGACCACCTTGATTAACAAACACCTTCACACTGGGGCCACAGTCTGCACGCTGCATGGTTTAAAATGTTTAAGGCTTGCAGTGTGTCAGAGGTGAAGCCGGCGTCTGCAGTGCTATTCACCTCTGTTCTCATTGTTTATGTTACAGACACTACCCCAAGACAAACTTCACCTGCGTGGCTGATACTCCAGAGAACCTTCGCCTCAAACAGCAGACCAAGATGCAGAGTCAGGTAAATCAGCTCTTTAAGCCCCGGAAAGTTTTCTTTACTAATCATCTTTTAATCATCTTTTAATAACAGCAACCAGATTTTTATCTGTTGTGAAAAATGCATCTATGCGTGCATCCCAACAGACCATCTCTAGTCTTAGCAGGGTGTCTTCTTAATTTCTGGTGCACTTTAAAGCAGATCATTAAAAAATATATATATATATATCTCAACTTAGTGTTTTGATGATGTCGACCCTTTTTTTGTATCGGCCCTTTTTTTTTTTCCTCATGTATTTTTTTCAAATCATCATGAAACAGCTTCTAACTACTGGGTAAGGATTAGAGGAAATGCAAATTCCATTTTGTATCCCAACAAACCTGTTTGCATGTGAAAAGGTCATTTTTACAGTAAGACCCTGTAATGAGAGGGTATCAGGACAAACCCACATTTTCTATCTTAGTCCCATATTAACATTAGTTGGGTTTGCAGTATTTAGGGGAGACAAAAAACAATCCTATAAGGGGACAAATGCTTTTTCACAGAACTGTAAAAGTGTCTTCTCATGTTAAAAGTTAACTTTGATTAAAAGTTAAAGGCTTAGACCAAAAGGAGATATTCTGGCCTCAGTTTTAACAGAATCTGAACAAATCTGTAGCTTTTAGATACTGAGGTAAACTATAGAAGCTTAAATTGACTAATTAAAGTAAATGTTTTATGTTTAGAAAATAAAATGACTTTCTGAAAGTGAAACTAGAATGAGGGCTACTCTTTAGCTCTTTCAGGTTCATTCATTCATCCTGTTTCACCATTTATTCCTATTTAATTTAGTCTGCATTATAGAGGTGCATCACTTGTTCCCCACTGAGCCAGAGCAACGCTAATCCGTCCAGATTGATATAAGCCTATTTATCTAAACTTAAAGAACGCGGCAGGAAGCTCCTCCTTTTTAGCTGCTTATTTCAATCAGGCTCATCCATACCTTAGCTGCCAGGGAATATGTGTATGTTTTTCATGGGAATTGAAGTCGATGACTGTGGCTTACTTCCTGCTGCTTTTACTGTCATTGGGATTCTAATCCGTTGGCTTTATTCTTTTTATTTGTCTTTTTTCAATGTGGATTCCAGATGAATGTTTATGGTTTTCTGATTCGATTTTCTCATTGTTTTTCCAGTCCAGTGGCTTATTACATTTTTAGGTTTTCCTAAAGGCTTTGTAGGATGTTTAAAACTTTTTATTCAGTGTTTACTTTTGATCACCACATTCCCACTCAGTTTGTTTTGCTCATCTGTATTTCCTGATCTGCTCTGATCAGCCATGATGGGCTGACGTGACAAAAACCGCACCTGTTGTCCAAGGTCTGTCTGCTGTGAAAGCATTTATTACCACATGATTCCCCTATTAGTCATACTGTTTTGATGCTTGCTACTTGAATTATATAAAAATGTAACAGACTCGTCTCCCCCCCCTGCCCTCTGACAGGAGAACCCATCTACAGTAGCAACTCCCAGCCCCCTTTCAGGAGATCTAGACGACTGTGGGGAATCTGTTTGAATCCTGTAAATGTTTGTCTATAAATTGTTCAGTTAGTTGCATTAGGGAACTGACATGGTTTTCCAAGAGTGTCTCAGTAATTTAGAAAATCATTAAAAAGTCAATTTTATTACCTAAGTTCAGTTAAAAAAAGTAAAGATTTTAAAGTTTTGTTTTTTTTAAACTGTGTGATAGTCCAATTAGTTATTTCTGGGATTTTGGTGCATTAGAGGTACTAGACTAAAACCTAGCCTTCAGGCAAAGGTCATGTTTGTATTTAGTTTGAAAATCCAAGATGGTGGGGGAAGACTGGAGAGGTTCAGTGTGAAATGTTTACAGTTAATGATAATTTCTTTAGTCAGCTTCTGGGCTAAGGCTATTGTTATTTTTTCTGTCAAGTCTTTGCAAATTTCCTTAACGGTGGAATATTTTCAAGACGAAAATTAGAGTAAACCCTCAGTTGCTGCCAACGTTAACTTTGTTTCCTTAACACCCTGGCAGAGCCACAGACAGAACGGCTGTAAGCCACCCGGTTTTGGCTCGGTAATTAATAGAAAAAGTACAATGTTCATACTATACAGTACATGAGCGTAGCTTTAGATTGACAACAATCATGCCAGTTTTCAATACCTGTAAATCCAGTTTTATGCTCTGTGTCAATCTTTACGTTTTGGTTTTTGAATTGGCATTTAGAAGCACCTGTCTTTGTCATGTGAACATGGTTGAAGTCAGGCTTGCCTCCTTTCAGCCGGGCATACACTGTGCGATATTTTCAATCGTTGCACGCAGCTACAGCTCAAATTGTACGACGAAACCGCAGGGTTTAAAAGTTCACATCCCACGATGCATGTTCTCAAACTATGCGGCCCGACGCTGGGATGCGACCTTACCACGGCCGACTGAATTTCAAACATGTTTGATCTTCTCCTGACCTTACGATTCCTGATCGGGAGGTTGGGAGGAATCTGAAACGGTTATTTATACAGGAAGATCAAAGGGATCTGGAACAGACAAACCTACCAGAATATTTTTCTGAATTGAACATTTTATGTCCTCCGCCTTGGTGGCTCTAATTAAGCCTTGACGATTTGGTACCAAACTATTTTGGCATTGAAAAACTTTTAAGGCTTCCTTCTGTTTCACTTTCCTTAATGGTTCTCTAAATAAAGAATGGTATGAAAGGAAGAAAAAAAACTACCTCTGACTATAGGAAGGCTTTATCAATGTAGTCAGAGAAGCAGGGAAAGGTGAACGGAAAGAAGCTGCGAGGGACGATTGTTTTCTCAGCACTCAGCAGCCAAGAGAGAGTGTTTGTGCTAATAGGAGGGCAGGGATATCAAAGCGTAGGTTTAATCCAAATGTCACTGTCAGACACTACAGATGAGACAGGGGGGTGTTTGAGTCTGAGAGGAGGGGGTTTTATCATATAGGGAGGGGGATGACTGAGGGACAGATGGTGTTTTCCTATCCATGCCCAATCCATCATAAACAAAGCAAATATGAAGGTTATGCTACTTGGTTATGCGTATTGTGTATATGTTTGGTGTTCCACAAATCAGTACTTAGAAATGTTTCCAGCATAAACATAAAAAAAAAAAATCTTTTCTGTTGACTTGTCAATAATACATTTGTCCTAAAAAAATAAGAGATTTTTTTTTTTCTCTTAAAAACATCAGAAATATCAGAATAACAACATTATAGCACCTCCTCTAATTTATTCAAAAGGCCCATGCCATAATTTGACTTGTAGGAAAGTTGAAAGACCTCACAGAAAACAGTGACTGTATTCAGACTCTCATGCCCTCCGTTCACGGTGCTGTGTTGCTACAGGAACCCTATTGCTATGGCAGCAGGGTAGAGGTTTGTCACACCTCATTATGAGACTTTGCAGGGGAAAACTCAAAGAAGAAGGGCACAGAAGAAGAGAAATAAAGAAGCTGGACTGAATGAATTGAGGAGGAGAGACGAAGCAATGAACGAGGCAAAATGAAAAAAAGAGACAGGAACGCACCAACGCAGTAAAAGGAGGTGTGCAGGTTGAAAGAGGAGATGGAAACAAAACCCAAGGAGGAGGGAGCTACAGGAGGCAGAGACGATGAGATGAAAAGCTTTAGGTCCGAGGGAGGAGTTTGATGCCGATAAAGGTTTAAAATATGAATGAATGAAAAAGGGTTATTAAAGCGGGAGGCCAGTGGGTGGGGATAGAATGCAGAAATGTGATTGGTGCAGAGAGAGCAGGGGTGTAGGCCCCCGAAAGACAAAGGAGATGAGCTCGAGAAATTTAAATCGGATGAGGAAGACTGAAGGGCAAAGAGGAATCAGCGCCACGCTGTTTCTAGAGAAACGGGTGTGTCGTTTTTTTTATAGGGTTTGATAATCTGCTGTTTCTGTTCATCAACACATTTCATTTCATCACATCAGAAGATTAAAGGCTTGGTCAACAGTCTTTGTTTCTAACACCATTACGACATCTGAGGAGGGGCGTTTTGCTTTCTGGTTACAAACAGCAGCAGTCTCTCATTTATGGGCTGGTGCAGAAAACTGGAGGCAGGAAGAAGGTTAACGTTGCAGGGAGGTTAGACCGAGACTGGCTGTTTCAAAAATAACACCTGGCCATGCCTTCCTGTTTTAGCTTTAAATGGTTCTCTCGCTTTTTGGGGGTTTGAATTCTCCAGACCAGCCCCTGGGCTGTTAGGGAGGTTTCATTGGTTGTAGGTTGTATTATTGTTGGGGTTGCAAGGCATGGACGTTTCCTCCTCTGCCCTGAGGGTCAGAAACGGGTGGGTGGTGTGGAAACACACGCACACACACACAGAAATGCAGTTTGTCACTCACTACCGCTCTTTTTGACCTTATATGGTTGCCAACATGTCCTGTATGGAAGGCCTACACTCCTGTGCAAGCAGGAAGTTAACGTCATCACAGAAAGTCTAAAGCGATATAATGCAGGGCCTACCTTATTTTGCACAGCTGACTTATCTACATTTATGCCAAACAGAAATTGCTACTTTAACACGCAAGACTTCCTATTTTAACAGAAATGTCACAACCAAATGTGTGCTGTTATGTCAGATTAAGCCAACAGTAACAATGTTTAGATCATCAAATATGTCAGATCTTAAAGAAAAGCATTAAATATTAAAGTCTTCTCAAAAGTGACTCTTACTGCTTTACTTCCAACTTTCAATATATAGTAAATGAGATTAAATAAATTGCACTAATATTAGCTTTTTTTTTATCTAAACACAAACATTAGGCCTTCTTTATAAGATTTGTTAAAGGAGAAGACATTTGCAATTAAGGTGTGGTCATGGTCATTGCTAGAGGAGCCAGTGGAGCGCTTTGTTCGCTCTATTCCAGCTGCTTTAATGTCTCAAAGACTTTTGATAAGAAATGTGGCTAAATTAAGAGGCTTTAAGCATAGATAATATTTAAAAGTTTAAGGAAGGGTAGCAGATTACCTGAGCGTAGCAGAAAGAAATTATTATTACTGGCTGACTACAGATTCCTGACCCTAGACTGGATGCAAGGGGCAACAAGTTGCAGTTAATAGTTGTGTTGAACAATTTAAGTAGTTTATTGTTTGTTTCTGGTAAACAGCTGATGGTTTGTATATTGAGCTGTTAGGTTTGAGGTGCAGGATTGTTTTTGTTTTGTTTTTTCTTGTTGGCTCCTCTAATGGGTGTAAATCCAACAGTAGCACTTTTTTTTCTTGCATCTATAAAAGTGTTTTATGGGCTCCATAAACCCCAGAACTAACCCATTAAAATATGCTCTGGATCAGTAAGGTGGAGGCTAATCCCAAGTATTGCCTTTTTATGATGAATTTCTTATGCTGAAAGAATCTAGGTCAAAGCATCCATAAATTATAATCTGCTCTGCATTGAATGACTCGCATGCATCAGAGCCGTTTCCTCAAAACTATGTCCCACACTTGCTTGTTTTAATCATCCCTCTTCCTCTCTTGCATCTTGTTGTCCAGGTTCACTACAAGGAGGACTTTGAGAAGAATAAAGGCAAAGGTTTCAGCGTGGTTGCAGACACGCCAGAGATGCAGAGAATTAAGAAAACGCAGGACCAAATCAGCAATGTGAGTGTTTACTACAGGTCAAATAAAACAAGTCATTACAATGGGTTGTTTTTTTTTCTCTTATGCAACAAAGAGGATTTTTTTATTTGGTAAGGTGGTGTATGTGAAAGGATGCTTTTAATTTCTATTATTAAATTCCTTATGTTAATGCTGATTTTTTGTTATTGTTTTTTTAGGTTTTAAGTTCTCAGCTCTTCAGAAGAAGCTGTTGAATCTTTATTTATTTTACACTACATCTTTTATTGGCTTCTTTTAGAACTTCATTCAGAGATGCAAATTTAGACTCATTCCTGCATATTTCGCACATTAAAACAATAAATTTAATGTTCTTTCACCTCTGATTTATAATTTTTCCATGCATCAGATGTCAATTTAGGTTTTTCACTTTCCACAAAGACCTTTTATGTTTTTTTATGGGAAACATGTCGCACACTAAACTCCTCATTACCCACAACCGGCTCTGTACTGGCCTCTCTAATGACATAATTAGTGTTGAGGGTGATGGATAATTGCTACTTTCATGCAGTGAGATCGTGCACGTCTGAGATCAAGGACGTGTTTATGGCTTGGAGCCATACACATATATGACGTGCATATAAAGATGTGCACACATCGGTTTAACAAAAGCGACTCAAGTTCTGTGTGAAGAACTGATCAGACATCTGTTTACAATCAGCCTGTTTGCAGCCAAGCAGGAGTTTCATTCTGCTTTACTTTTTTCTTCCTTCGCTCTGAGACACCACTTTAGTTGGTGTCAAAAACAGAGAGCTATCTGAGTGCTTTCTTTACATCCATACAGAGGATATCTGTTCAACCTCTTTCCTCATAATGAGTTAAAATAATCTCCCTTACACACGCTCTCTTGGCGTATTGCTCCTGAGAATAGCGACTGTGTTTTCTCAGTCACTAGCTTCACTGTTCTTAGACAAACACTGTCATCCCATCCAGTCTGCGAATACACTCCCCGCTAATGCTGGCAGCACAGTGGGCTCTTTGAGATCCCACTTTTTGAATCTTGAGTCAGTCTGTTACCAGCCGGGTAATAAGAGGCCCGGGTTGTTCAGTCCCAGTGTCATCAGTGTAGTCTGCTTTATGAATAAAAAACACATCCTGTGAATGATTTTATTGACTCCTTGCAGAAATATTCACCCCATTTAAGTGTTTCAACCACAAAACCCCGTAGAAGTTTCACATAACCTCAAAAGACTAATATGCATTTGTACTCTGCTGCCTCTCCCTCTAATACATGTAAAGTAAACAATGTAGATCAAATCCTTACTTTGCAAACAATTATTGTCTAATTTTAGCCTGGACAGAACAGCAACATTTAGAGGAAGCATCATGAACCGGAAAAGCTGCAGAATCCTATAATTCAGGTGGAATAATATGTCATTGGGACAATTAGTGGTTGTCCACTGGCCTTTTTGGAGGCGTGGCTTAAACATTTCTGAATGAAGGTTTCCACTAAACCTCAGATAGGACTAAACCATGGGCAACAATCTCACTCTATAGTCAGATTTCTCCCTTTTTTCCCTTCTTTTCTTGACCTGTTTCTGCTTTATGATGTGTCAGTGTGGGTTGTCATGCAGCTCTGACCTCACTATACTTCCGGCTGGGGAGATGTCATTTCCTCTAAGCATCAAGCTGCTTCCCCAGCCGTGGCAGCACGTAGCTCACCCCACCTATTAGATGTGTAATGCTAGACAGGAAGTGAGAGCCCTCTGGTGGTTGGAAAATGAAATGGCAGTTTGTGGAGGGAAAACTACTTTATGCAAGAAGGAATAAGATGCATTGTCCTTATTTGATGCAAGCTGACTCACTTTGTGTGCCATTCAGATCAAATACCATGAGGACTTTGAGAAGATGAAGTCTGGAGGAGACGCTCCACATCAGCCTAGCCACCCCAACCAAGGTATTTATCCTCTAAACATGCAAGTAAACCGAGGTGTTGATAATCAGGCAGAAAACAGTGTAGCTTTAAGGTAATTTATTTGCTGGACTGACTCGCTCCTGTGAGCTGTGAGATTCTGAGACCTTCCTGTTTTGGGGGTTTTGTTGTAACATGTTAACTGCTCTGCTCCTTCAACTATAAATAACTGCATTCCTGCAGTTTAACAACCTGGATTATATTCATAATCCAGTGTATAATATAGATAATCCCTCATCAAATTCTTTACAACTTTATTCCTATTGCTTAAGGTAGAGCAGCTCTTTGCTCATAGTTAAAAACTTCTGGATTATAAGCATTAAAAAGTGACTCCACAGCCACGCATTAAATAGCAGCAGCTAAATAAAAATGATCAGGCGTGATGAGTCAACGGGGTGGCTGTATTTGACATGCTCGATTTTCAAAATCACACAGAGACTTATTGTTTGGAGGTTGTGTAACAGCGCAGTTAACAGCTTGTCTTGAGTTGCTTTGGGGGTTTTTTTTGTTTTTTTTTTTAGCTCATCTTTATCAGAAATCCCCTGCCAGTGCTTGCAAACACACCTGCTTATACATTTGGAAGTAGAATTGCTTGTTTGGTTGTTTCCCTGATTGTGTGAAGACACATTTATAGCTACATTCTCCAGCAGGTTCACTGTGTGTGCATCTCATTAACACGCCCTCTCTGCCTTCCTTATATCAGGATCTTACCAGCAGCCTGCAGCCTCCCAGAACTACCACCACTATGAGCCTACTCCTGAACCAGTGCGCCCAGCAGCTGCTGCCCCTCCTCCCAGCTCCGGGGTGAGTACATTCATCTGATTCCCCGGAAGTTTTTATCGCTTATTCTGCAAAGGGGTTTAATTGAGGTTTTATTTCTTTTTTTTTAAATCAATTTTTTCGAATGTGAAAACCAACATTTACATTAACCTGAACTGTTTTATCAGTCTGGGGATAATAAACGTCAGTGCTCTTTTATTTGAGGTTATTTCAGTTATTTTAGTTTAAACCAAAGTCTGATGCTGGCATGTTACTTTAAAAAGTAATGTTAATTATTCACCCTGCTGGATTATTCATGTTTTCAGGCAAAAAAAGCAACAGTGATTGTGTGCAAATAGTAAAAAAATTGATTTAGACACAATAGAGAGAGTAGTTGAGTAGCCTGATAGGGTTCAGCTGCAGCATCATCAGTCTTTATTCAGTTAGAGAATCTGCTCATATCGTCTTGGACAGCCTGTTGAATATGACGGCAGTGGGATTGTTTTTAAAAAGAAGTCAAGGTCTCGATGTATCCAAAGTCATTGTTAGTAAGACAGAAAGCAAACTAGGATTTGTCACAAATTACCCATAAAATCCAGCTTGTAATTGGCAGAACAATATTCTGTCAGGGAAATAAATCTGTATAATTTAACTTTTTCGCCCGTCTGCAGATTTATTTTCTAGAACATTGTATTTGTCCAAGAAAGAAGAAAAGGCAGGAGGTTGGAGGCCTAACAGAGCAGCATCCTTCTCTATTTAAAAGCTCTCTGTGGCTAACCCAGATAACCTCGTAGGAAAAATGTTAAATTAGGAAAAATAGATTTTTTTTATTAGCAACATCCTTGTAGATGTTGTTTCTTCTGTGGTTCTTAGTTTTGTTTTTTTGTCGTGTAAAACAGAGCCGCTGAAACTCTCACTTTTTAACACATAATCAGTCTCTGCTTTATTCATCTGCTGTAACTGCTGAAACAATGAACTAGATTTTATTTTAAGCATCTCCAGCTCTCCCATATTTAGCTTAGAAATGGAAAAAAAAAAAACAATTACCGCTCAGCAGATTTTAGTTGATTAATTAATTTTTAAAAACTTCTTATCCCAAGCGTTCTGTTGGTGCAGTGACATGAACTGTTTTCTAATCTCGGGGTAAAACTTGTTTGTTTGAAGATGGATCTTCCTCCCTAAGTTCTCATATTACCTGTACAGTAGCAGCCGTTCAAAATGGCCCTTCCAAGCCAAACGCCAGTCGAATGGAAGCCAACTTCCAGCCACTGGAGTGACTCCCTCCTTCTCCTGGGCCTGCATATTTTTTTATTTTGACTCCACCCTTTCACTGAATTACAGGGTCTGACCATGAGATAACTCTTCTCTTTATATCTTAATGTTCACAAATCATGACATAAAGAATATTTTATTGCAAGGATTGATGTTTAAAAAAGGAATCTTAGGGGACCAGCAAAGGACCCATCAAGCAAAGTGGGAAAATTTTGAATGGCTACTACTGTATAGACTCTAAACAACATTTTAAAAGGGCTCACTCTCTCCAGATGTATAAAGGTCTTTATGTTTCTTTCTGACATTCTTTTCAGAAGGTTTTTATCATTAAAGTAGTTTCTTCTGGTTTCCTGATAAACAGTGAGTTTTTTTGGCCTTTCTGGCACCTGTAGTTGGCTGTTGTGTTTTTATGCTGATACAATCATTCCTCTACATCTAGTAAAAGCTCGAAAAAAAGTCATAGGGAAGTCATATTTAAAAGTCAAATCATTCTGGCTTAAACGTGTATATACATGTACTCTTTATCAGAAGATATCGTTCTCAAAAGTAAAAAAAATCCTATCTTAAAATCAGTTTTGTTTTTTCGTTATTTTATGCAGGCCATTTAGTTATACATCAGCTTGTACACCTTAATACAGACAATCATATATTAACGGTGATCTGTCAATCAAATGTTTTCGGTCATAGCATTTTGATTCATATGTTGCAGCTAATATACACAACGATTGAAATATCCTTGTGTATATTAGCTGCAACATATGGGCAGGCGTAGAGCTAACAGAACTGGCGGCGTTGCGAGGTAAGGGCTCGAACATGTACGGCTGTAAGCCTTCTACACCAAACCAAGCTTCTGCTAACTGATTAGCAAGATGCTTCCGACAAACTGGCCACAAACAAACTTGCTTGTGAACCTTCTACCACAACAATCCTGCTCCCTTGATAAATGACCAATCTCATTTTATTCAGTCATGTAAAGTCGGGCACCACGCGAGAGAATTCAGAAATCCAACGGTTGGAACAGCCGCTTCCCTACGACTTTAAGAAGCAAATTGTCATTAAAATGAAAATAATGGAAATTCTGTCCACCATTGGGAATATGAAGTGAGCAGTTTAAAAATGACTGGTCTTTAATTTATTACAAAGACGGTTTTCTGTACATTGGCATCTCACCGGCTGGAACTGCAGCTTCTGTTTGTGAAACTAACTTCATCTTCTCTGTCTGCAGAAGCGATACAGAGCAGTGTACGACTACGCCGCTGCTGATGACGACGAAGTGTCCTTCATGGACGGAGACGTGATCGTAGACGTGCAGCAGATTGATGAAGGCTGGATGTACGGCCGCGTGGAGCGCACCGGCCAGCAGGGCATGCTGCCTGCCAACTATGTGGAGGCCATCTGAATGATCGGGGGAACGTCCAGTAAAGGAGAGGAGATAAAGAAAGGGAGGGAAGGAAGGAAAGGAAAAGCCCAGTGCCATCTCATCTTAACACCGCTTTCTCTTAATTTTACTCTGGTTCCTTAACAATCTGTCCTGTGATCCTAACCCTCCTCCGCTCTGCACCCCCGCTCTGCTCTCACTGTCCGCCGCCTGTCCTCCTCTCCATCAGCCTGCTTCATGTACGTCCGTCTGTGCCGATGTCTCTGCTTCCTCTTTGTCCATGATTCATTAAGACTTGGCTCTCATAGAGAGAATCTCACTAACAGGAAAGTCAGGGGTCATGTCTGGTCGCACGGCTTCATCAGAGCTACGTAGCAATGGCACACAAGATATGAAATGCATTTACCAGCTGTTAGACCAGCTGCTAATATTCTGTAGGGGAGATAAAGAAAAAAACTGCAGAAAAGGAAAGTTTGTCTTAAATCTGCAGCTCGATCTTTGCCAGACTGGAAACGGTGTTTTATCTCAGTTCATCAGACATAGGCTTGAATATTTCTTTTCTCTTATCATTTTTGACTTGTGTTCTTTCCTTTAGCTCGGAGCTCTGGTGCACCGACCGGCTGCTCAGAAACAAAGAGGTTTATTACCTTTGTAGATGGACCTAAATCTTAAAACTATGGGGTATGGTTTGACACTGCTGGGTGTTTGCTGTGAAACTGGAACTTTAGCCTAACTGAAGAGCTCCTCCTACAGGGGGGATCAGGGACAAGTTGGCGATCAATAAGAGTCCATCTCTAACATCCACCTCCATTAGTGTGATCAAACTGTGCAGAAGTCCTCATTCCTGTTTTTTTTGCAGCTCAAATTATTTATCTATTTAGAAGAGGAAACTTTCCCAATGCTAGGAAATCTCTAAAGAAATGGTTTTATAAAAAGAGGGCGCCAAGCACAACTTTGTATTGTGATTCTCTAGGTTTTAACTTTGTTCCACTGTATGTGTAAAACATTCCAGTCATTTGTTTCTATTTAATGTGAGAAAAATCCTTTTGCTGTGTTAAATGTTCTTTCTCATACTGTTCTTCATTTGCCTGTCTTGTTTTTAAAAATAAATCAGTGTGTTTAAATAAAGATTTGGTTTTGGGACCCAAGAAAACAGAATTTGTCAAACTGCAGTCATGATATCGGATCAGATGTGGGATTTATCTGCTTTTAATTAGATTTCCAGATTTATGCAGCAAACTTTGCTCTCACCGTTGATCCTGACAAGGTGTTGATAGGTGTTCGGTTACGTCATGCCCCCGGCTCTACACACTTCTCCCCCTTTTTTCTCCCATGATGCACTGTGAGTGGGGCATGTAGGGGAGGGGCTCTAACATGTAGCTTGATGACGTCCTGTAAATGTAAATGAATCCATAAGGCCTCTGGAAGGCAGATATATTTTTTTGCAGATCTGGGGTAGGAATTTGATTTGAAATGTTGGAAAACGTCTTTGAGATCTTTCAAATCTAACGTAAACATGTTGATTAAAAAAATGAGCACTGGATCAGATAAACGATCATCCTCACCTTGTTTTATAGGTCGTGCGATTGAACGCTCTGAGCATCAAGCTGCTAATCGTCCTCAGCTGGATTTTTGGAGTGAAGAAAGGGGGAATGATTTCAGGCCTTATGTAATTGCTCAGTTATTTTTTCCAGTCGCCTCCCTATCTCCCCTGATTATATCTAGTCCAGCTTGCTTTATCCACAGGGTGTGAATGTCAGTTTAGATGACTCTGAGGGTTGTTTAAATGGTGCTCAGGCTGGATTTGCAAAGTGTGTGATGATGTCTTTGGGGCTTGACAGCGAACAGATGCTTCTCATCTCCCAGCCTGTGGCGCAGGCCAAGTGGTTTGTCTGACCTGGATATTAGTCAGGAGTCGACCTCATCCCAGACCCTGACTTCACTACTGATCCGTATACCATCCCTGCTCCTCCCAGCTTCCCTCTCGTATCCTTTCCTTCTTACCTGCTGCAGAGCCTCTCTCCTGTGCTTCTCATCAATCATTCCCCGCTTCCATCATACTGGTTATATACTGTAGAGTTTGCAGAGTGAAATCATTTTATCCACAATTCCAGGTTTAGCACTGACCAGTTTTGTGCATTCCATATTAAAATGTTTTGGTTTTGATATAGTTTTGTTATTTTTTAAATGAAAAAAAAAAGGATCATATGCATATTGTCACACACGTGTATTGAAAAGTCAGAATAAATACTCAGATTAAGGACCTGATATCATCTCCTGTTGCCCTGTTACAGCACTTCAAATTGTACTTATGATTCTGCAGATTCAATAAAATGTCATTTTTTTTCTCAGACTCCCGTTTCTTTGTTTTCACAGTTCAGCTGTCATTGAAACAGACTGCCTTTAAAGATGGGAAAGTAATTTCAATGCTTAGAGGATCAAATCAGAAAACCCTAAACCCAGCTGGAACATGAAGTTTATTTTTGTTCAGTCTTTGTCTCAAAATTTTAAATGAACAAAAAACAAAAACAAGCAATGGTTCTTCAAACACAGTTGTGTGATCATTTCTTCACATCATACTCAAAACCAAGTTGTGTAAATCCTGGTGCTTTGCTGAAAACATTTTATTTGAGTGGTGAAAAACGAGTCCAGCAAAAACTGCTTTATAATGAGTAACTCTCATCTAGAAGAAATATTTGAAGCAATACAGGGATCACATGGAACACCAGGAGAAGTGAACTAAAACAAACAAACTTGAATAGAAATAAGCAGAATACAAACACACACATATAAATGTTTCTGACTGTAATATAACCCCGTAAAAATGTTCACTGTACAGAATAAAAATGTTTTTTAGGGAGATAATTGTGTTTCTGTAAAATCTCCCATTGCAATAATAGGATATTGCAATTAAGAGTATCAGTGCTGCCACCTCCTGGTTTAAAGGGGAACTGCTAGGGTTTCCTTGTTTTCTTAAACACTAAGTAATAGGAAATGCTGAAGTTATAAACCTGGGCTCCATAAATGGGGTTAATCAAAGTAATGTGATTTTAAGGGGAGGGATTTACTTTTTCAGATTGCATATTTGCTAGAAAATCATTTTTCCTTTCTTAACAACTGAAACATTTTTTAGATATCTATTTTGTCTTTGAATTTGGTCTCATAGAAATGTTGCTAAATTTAGTGTGACAACAAAGAAAGATCAAATCTAACTGATATTATTTCAGCTTGTTCTACTTAAAAAAAAAAAAAGAAAAAAAATTAGCCAAGATGAATTTGGTATGCTGCCAAAAAAAGATAAATTTGAATCTTTCGTGTATTCTGTTAGACTTAATGCTCAATTTTATTTAAAAACATTTGATCTGAATAGGAAACCAAAGTATTTGTATAATTCTTCCTTCTGTTATTATAGAACAATATTTTTTATTCAGTAATAAGGGACAGAGATAGGATTTTAGATACAGAAATCACTACAGAGATATTAAAGAAAAAAAGAAATAAAGTTGTACATCTACTCAGGTTCTGTGATATCAAACGTTCAAACTTTTGTTTAGATGTATATATATTAAAAACATTTAAAACAAATTGCAAAGATTGATAAATATACGTATTCATCAAAGCAGATATTGGCTCTTCAATGAGAGAATTGTTATTTATTTATAAAACTGACCTCATGAAATAGCCAATGCCCAGATTTTCAGGGTGTGGTGTTTCTCTACAATATTTAGATATATTTTTATATAGATATTATTATTACAGAATCCCCTATAAATGAGGCGCTTTAAGCTTTTAACAAGTTATATTTGACTAAAAATAGCGAAAAGTCTCCCTACTGTCGCTTCTCTTTGTATGGAAGTGGGCGGGGTCTTTTTCTCGGTTCCATCCCGGAATGTTCCGATCTTTTCCGATCTCTGGTGTTTCCGCTGCGCCTCCTTCTCTCAGCTTCCCTCCTCTGAGCGCCTCCACCATGGTGGACATTCTGGTGTTGATGTTCTTCGCCGTCATGGGCCTCGTCTTTCTCTCTTACATCATCTACATGCTGTGATGAGTCAGTCCTCTGCCTGCGCAGCCGGACGTCCCGCATCCGTTCTGCATCCGTCCTGAATCCGTCCTGCATCCCTGCTCTCCATCATAGATTTAGGTAAGTCGCTGCTTTAAGGATGCCAGACGCTTTGCATTCGCGATGTGGCAGAAGGCCTTAAATGTTAAGAGAAAAATGTCCCATTAATGTAATAATCCCATAAAAACAATGTCTGCAAACGCTGACTTGGCTGCCTAAGATGTATCTTGATTTATTTTTATAATTTTTTATTTTCTATATTTTTTTTAAATCTAAACATAAATAGTTTAATCATTAATTTAATAACTAATTTCACTTTTTTGGCACCCATGATTGATCTGGGAGAATCACAGAGCTGAACTATGGGGAGATCAACTTAAACACACATAGGTAGAAAGATCTATTTTTTGTTGTTCTTGTTGTTTTATTTATTTTTTTTTTTTTTTTGTCAGGTTTGCGTTTAAAGATTTAGGGTTAATCTTTTCATCAATATACTTTTTTTTTTTTAAGAATTTATGAAGACAGCAACAAATAAGGGTTATGGTATGGAGGCCCAGCAACCTAGAAGACTATAGGCTCAATGCCAATTAAAAAGAAAAAAAAGAGTGATATACAATTTTTTTAATCTTTAATAGCATCTTGCTCTTTGTACTCTATATAAGCTACTGGAACTAGAATTTCCTGGGCGGGGTAATCCCAAAGAATTAAAAAAAAAGTATTTATTCTTTAGCCTATATTTATGTGTAACTAAGATATCCAAGCATTTTTTTTTTTTTTATGTGTGGTTAATTATAAAAATATTATTCCATTTGTGCAGTTCTTTTCAACAGCCGGACGGTAGCTTTCTTTCACTGAATGAGTTCTGGGAAGCCACTCCGTTCCAAAGTCAGCCCCCGACATCTGAAGGGATCATTTTAAGGGTTGGAGGGCATTTCCCCCTAGCTCTTATAACTCTTGGGACAAACTAACCTTACACATCAACGTGCAAAACTGAGTGCTATAGGGACCAAACCGAGTGCAAGTGATAGAAATGGGACTGGGCCAAAGTCTAAGAAGCTGGTCACCTATGAGGGGTTTGGTTGCTTTAAGAAGCTGTTGTCCTGGTAAAGCTTCTCTCCTCTCCTGTTTTTTAAACTAAATGCATAGCTGATTGCTTTTTCCCACAATAAATGTGGCTATTATTAGAAAATGTGACCAAGAAGTGTTGATATCAGATGTAAATGATTTTAAAGCTAAGTTTTTAAAAAAATAATTTAATTTCTTTTGATTACACAAAGAAACCAAAACAATAACTCAATTTAATTTCATTTTAATAAAAATATTTTTTCCTTTTTTTTTTAAATCTCTAGATTCTGATCAGAAAACCCAATTTAAAATACCTGATTAGTCAGGACCCTCTTTATCTCCATCCAGCTAACCTTGATGTTTTTTTTTTATCTTTTCCAGATCCTGATGCAGGTCATGATGTTTCTCCTCTCAGCTTACAGACGGAACATGGGAAACCCAGAGGAAGACCAATGGACACCTTTCTTATTCTCTTGTATTTTCCTCCATCTTTGGCTTCAGTTCATCCTCTCCAACAGCCCTGCAGCCCTTAATGCTTTCCTTCAATCAGTGTTAAAACAGGATGTTTCCACTGTGTTTTCCTTCATGCTTCCTTATTGATAGCAACAGATCACTCATACTGCTACGTTTAAATGTTTGTTTTCCTAATTTTGTCCCATCTGGCTAAACAAATGATTTGTATGAAGACAGATTCTTTATTTGTATCCATGTCATAATGTTATGCTTACAGATGCACTGATAATCAGCTAAAACATGTTTTACAGGATTTTAATTAAAGATAATGTCACACACAACGTTTCCTCCTCATCATTTCAGCTGTAAAGTAAAGCGGAACTTTGCCTTGTATAATAAGTAATGGGCCCAATGGTTAGAGCAGTGCGCTTGTGCTCTGAGAAGGTCGTAATACCCGGTTTGATCCCCACAGCCTGCACTCTGGGAACCTAAGCAAGACCCTAAACACCACACTGCTCCCAGGGCGCTGCACAATGGCAGCCCACTGCTCCCCCGAGGAATGTGTTAAATGCAGAGGTAAATTTCTCCAATGTAAGATCAATAAAGTTCAATTATTAAGTCAGTGAAGCTAATGCTAATCCTTTAATATCAGGAAAGACTGCTGTCTTTCATTGAAAGATAGCTGCAGTTTATCCTGGCTGATGGTGACTACCTGTAATAAGGTTTGCTTCCCTTTGTTAAAGCAGTTTTAAAATATTAATCAAAGGTTTGTTATATGATTTTTTTTTTTCAGACTGGTTATTAGGAGCCATAAATTAAATCAAGGTGATTTATTAGATCCTCCTTTATTTGGAAGAATATCTCCTAATTACCCACCTGTTGGGAAATCCATCAAATTAACTGGGGGGGGTGGCTTAGTGCTTAGAGCTGTGCTTGTGCTCTGAAAAGGATGCAAGTACCCAGTTCCATCCCTACAGCTTGTACTCTGGGTCCCTGAGCATGACCTTTAACCCTGCACTGCTTTTCGGGCGCCGCACAGTGCCATCCCAAGGGGATGGGTCAAATGCAGAGGTAAATTTCTCCAGTGTGAGGTTAATACATTTCAGTTATTTTTATTATTAAGCTTTTTGTGATTTGGCTTTTTTTAAGTCACATATTTGGACATTTATTTTTATCTTTTTTACTTAATAAAGTAATAAACAAATGTTTTTGCTTTATGATGACAAGCACAGCCTGGAATGGCTTGTGAAACCAACTTACGGGTTTGTATTGTTGGGGATTCATAAAATGTCAAATTTTGTTTGGAGTCTGAGCTTTAGAGCCACTTAGAGACAGCGCCGGGGGGGCTAAGTTATAACTTCAGTGTTTGAGTTCTGTTTTTCAGAGATTAGATGAGTTAAAAGCTTTATGGGCTCAGGACGGACTTGACTGTTGCCCTTTGGGGCAAAGTCTAATATTCAGGTAAAAGGAAGTTTAGCATTTTCTTTGGAATGGTGAAATGAATGAGTGCGTACTGTACAATGCTTTAGCATACTTTTCAGTCGCCTGATTTTCGTATTTTAGAAATAGTTTTTATCCCCTTTTCTATTTTTAATCTGTAAATGCATGTTGCCTGACCTGCAGTCATTTCACCTAGTTTGATTTATTTTATTTTATTTAGCCACATTATGACCTATACCTGAAATATCCACCAGGAGGCGACCTTGAGCTTCAGGCATGCCCCCCTTTTAATTACAAACAATCTTCTGCTGTGATGCTTGATTGGAGTCAGAT